TTTTTTTTTCTTTTTATGTTCCCTGTTAAAATCAAGAAACTGAGCCACATATTTTTAATAATGAGAATCTGGATGAGGTTCAGTCTAAATTTTGAAAATATATTCCAATTAAAGACTTTAATAGATTCTTGGCTTTCCCCACATCTCATTGCCATGTGCATTCAATAATCCCAAGCCCCCTTTTTCCCTAGTAATAAGCAGACTGCAAAGTGGGTGACATCATTCTCCAGAAGGTCAGCCTCCCCCGGACTGCTGTTTTCTGAGCATTTCTTGCAAAGTTTTTGTTCAAGGGGACTATTTTTTTTTTTCAAACTGGCTGCAGATCTTCCATGATTGTTTCATACATGGTGCTTGCCCTTGTAAAGCCACAATGACTTTTGGACTGTGGCCTCCAAAACAGAGGTTTTGTAGTCTGTCCAGAGGGTTTCACTGACAGAAACAGCATGTTCTTCTCCTTGGTAGGACAATACGGTGATCACTCAGGTCACAGACCGGTAGCGACTTGCTGATGCACTTTACTTCAATGGCAACATGTGCAAATAAAACTCATGGACCACAAGTGTCAGCCACACCAGGCATCTGTGTGACTGGTCATGATATCAGGCTGTCCAGTTTGTGTGGCAGCTGAAACCTGTCATTGTGTAGATCACAAAGTTATTTAATCTCTGTATGAAACAGCTGCATCCAGCGTGCCGAGTATCGATTCAGTGTGTCACTGTGGCCCTTGCTCAACATACAGCTTGGGCCAAATGAATGAGCAAAGCACTAGGATGCATGCTGAATGGGAGAAAGGATAATGTGGAAAAAAACTATAATACTTTTAGATAATTGCATCATGTGGATGCATCTGGAATACTCTGTGCAAACTTGTTTTTAAAGAAACGATTAAGGACCTGGAAAACTTCCCACTTCAAGAGAAAAGAAACGACTGGCACTATTCACTGTGAGAAGCACAGAAGAAGGCCATTAAAACCTGTGAAACGATTGTGTGAAGAAGGTGGATGAGGGAGATCTTCTGTTCTCCTTATCTCGCAACATCCCACAAAAGGAGATGAACATTCAGTTAGAGTAGAAAAATCAGAGCCACCGTAATGAAGCATGTTCCACACAGTTGTGTCATAAAAACATGGCAATCACAATCACAAGAGTCTATCGAGGATGAGTGACGTGAAGCTACCACATATTCTTTTTTCTGCTAAATGGTGTAGGACGTAAAGATTCAGTACTTGATCTTCTTTGTGATTAGCTATGCACACTCAGCTTCATTCTCAGGCATCTTCTCCAGCCAACAAATTGTTCCACCTTTTGCTCCCTGAACCCTATTCAACCTCTTTCCACTCTTCAAAAATAAGTACAACAGGAGACTATATTGTGTTGTCAGTTCTCAGCTAGGAAATTGTCTCCCCACTGCTTACCGCTATTTTTTCTCTACACCAAAGATTGCACATCCCTTTTTATCACAGTATTACATACTCCCTTGCCTGTGCAGTGGTTTGTCCTCAGAGACTCCCATATTTTTCTCAGCCACACTTTGAATGCATGCAGGTTATCAAGAAATCTCTATTGCTCTTCATACCTTTGTCTCCATCGTTACTGACAACTTTGCAGTCTTTATAAGATTCATGCCTTTTGGCAACTAGACTGTTTCATTTAGTTCTGAACAACCTAGTGCTGGAGCCAGTCTCTGCAGAGCATCACTGGGACTGTCCTCACTGGATGGTGTTTTCACATTTACCCCATCAGTTTTGAGATCAGTTAGCTACTCATTTTTTAATACGCTAATGCTAACTTTTCCAAGTTGGCACAGGTGGCAATGAGTTAAACGCTCTCCAAAAATCCATCACACCTATGTAGTTTTTTCTACCAGTCAAATCTCTAACCTAAACAAATAATTCCGTTAGATTTTTTTGCCGAAATTGTTTTGGAAAAGGCAGACAATACTTTTATTTCATAAAACAATTACCGAGTGACAAAAGAAAAGCTAAGAATCCATAGCAATCCTCAGCACATGAAAATCCAGGTGGAAAGCAGCAAAGGCACCTTATTTATACTGCTGAAGTTCCAAGCTTCTGCCTCAGAAAGCATTGTTTTTTCTACCATAATAAGGGGAACTCTGGCCCTGAAAATCAGGGTTGAAATCCACAGTTCCTACAGGGGATCTGTTCCATCACTTCGCTAGATTTCATATAGCTGGAGCCTATTTCCTTTTTTCTCTCCATCACAGACAGCATCTTATTTCGGCACTGTGATGTCTTCCCTCCCCTCCAGGCTGAATAACCATAACTCACTCCTTATCAGGGATGTTTCTTCCTAGGCATGTGGCCATTTTTTTGCTGCTCTCATTTTGTCTCTGCAGTAAGTGTACCCTCCTTTTAAGTTGCAGTGGATACATCTAGGCTGCATGTAGAGCCACAGTAGAGATGAGAAATGAGGAAGGATAGTTCACACATCCCACAAGTCTCCTGTAGCCCCAGAGCAGTTTCCCAGAGCCAGCCATGTAGCAGTCTTCCCTGGTGCCAGCTGTTCATCTCCCCAGCAGCTGATTTGCTTCTTATCCGCAGCCGTAACTAAAAATATCCATTTTGGTGTCAATCCTAAACCAGATGCAGCCTATGCAAAACTAACAATTCAAGGGATAAAATGGAGGCTTGCAATTCCTTGAGTGTTTATTCGGAAGTGCCATATACTCACCCAGCTTTGGCAACAACAGAACGATCTAGAATTAAAGTGTCTGTTCAGTAAAATAGCACCCTGAAAACTTCTAATTCATAAATAAACAAGGGCATGAGATAACAGCATGCAGCTCAGAGCACTGAAGCTTCAACAGGGAGAGAGGAGTAGAGTCCCAGGCAAGTTCCTTACATGAAAAGACTGGCTAAGGCTTAAAGGATCTGAGGTGCAATAGCTTATGCTGAAGTCAGCTGTTAAACACCAGTGATTTACTCACCTGTCACATAGTTCACGTGTTAGAAAGCAAGGGCATGAAGAGGTATAGACACTGTACACCTTGGTTGTCCTAGGTTTGGAGGGAAGAATCACGTGTGGCTTAAAGCCACCTCAGCATTTCTTGTTTTTTCTCCCCGCAATTCCAAGACCTCCAGACCAGCATATTTGTGCTAGCCGCTGAGGGTTGTCCTGGCCTCCAGAAATAAAAACAGACTGTGTTTGTACCTTGGCTTTGCACCTATCACTGAGACCAGGGATCAGCTTGTTATAGCAACCACTGGAGTGGTGAGCACTATGATGGAGGGAATATTTCTGATTCGTTATCTTGAGGTTGTTTCACAAGGCTAAATGCAGAGCTCGAGACCACTGTTTTGCAGTGAGTTATTAAGCTTTGAGACTGACCTGCAGAAAAAATTTTAGTTAATGGCTGCCCTAAACCTAGTGGTCTGTGGTGCGGTGGTGGTGGTCTGCACTGAGCTGCCTGGTCACAGGGTACTGGCTTGCTTCCTGATTTTTCAGCTGCCAAACTATATTAAAACAAGCTAAAAATACATTAAATATTTTCCTTTCCTAATATTACCTTACCACGTAAGCAATAGCTGGACTTGCTACTAGGATGTTATCTGATACCCATTGGGAGGGGAGGGGAGGCGTGCGAGCCCGAACAGGGGGTGAGACAGAAGAGGGAGGCTGCTTCAGTGATTGTGACCAGGAGGAGAGGCTGTTATGTTTCTATTTAGGAGGGTGATGAAAACATTTCTGAATCCTAGCTTTAACCCATCTCTGACTGCATGTCCCACCGCAAGTGCTCCTTGACACAAGCTCCTGAGCTGGTGCAAAACCTCTCCTGCCCCGTGCTGAACTGTTTAAGCAGGGTTGGGTGGTTGCGTAAAGACTGTGCATGGGGAGTCTGTCACAGCCAACAGGAGTGTGGTCTGTCCTCCTCTGGTGCTGTGTCATCAGAAAAACAAATCAGTGGATGAGCTGGGCTCTGGGGTGTTGCACAGAAAACTGGCATGGGGAATGGACAGGCAGAAGAGACTCCCTTCTGATCCTGCCGTGGTGACAGGCAGCCCTGGCAACCACTGCTGCTACCCTCTTTCTGGAGGAGACCATGCCATCCCCAGATGGATTTGAGGTCTGGTGGGAAGTTTTGGGGTGATGTCAAGCTCAAGTATGAGAGGTTGGAGAATCTGCTACACAGGGCATGCATTTGTTCCTGATTGTTTAACATCACAGGTGTCACATTTGAACACAGTTTTGGAATGTTTTTCCCTTGCATTTATATCGGAATAAAAGAAGTATGAGGTTGCCTTGATACCTCTGTTCCCAGAGATCACTGTGTTTTTAACTAGAAATAGCTGCAATGAAGTGAATGGGGAAGTCCTATCCACAAAAGAAAAAAGTAACACAGTCTGAAACTAGAGATGAAAGCCCTACTTAACAAATGAGACATGTAAAGGGCAGAAGCTATGAAAAGACACAGCATGAACAAGTGGAAAACATTTGGCCTACTCAATTAATTCCTCCCAACCCTGTACTAACAGAAAGCCTCCCCAGCAAGGCCATCAGGTTTCGAAAGCGAGGCAGCGTGATCCTGGGGGGATGCACATTTCTGGTCTCCTAAAGCTTCCAGAGGACATACACCCCTTCCCCCTGTGTTTCCACACAAATGGCAAACTCTAACTGTAAATGGAGAGCAATGTGTCTGATGTGCTGGAATGTTTCCTCAATCTCTCTCTGCTCTCTTCGTGCTTAACTCGACTCGTGCTGTGTACTTGGGCGGGTTCTCCCAACCCTGCGCTCCTTCCCGCTCATCCTTCTAGCTCTTAGGTGCACTGGGAACACCAGGGAGATGAAGAGGCTCCACTGCACCTCGTAAGGCACAGTCTGTCCACCATTTCCATCCATGCTCTCTGCTGTGTCCTTTCACAGTAGTCAAGAGGTCAACAAGGTATGTGACCCCACTGGATGCACAGCAGAGTGCATTGCTGCTCTTACACCCTCTTCTCCTCCTCTTTCTACAGCTCTTTGCATGCCCTCTGTACGCTCACCTTGCTGCTTCTGCATGGTAGTGAAGTCTTCAAAGGTGAGAGTGCGCACAGGGGGCCTCCAGAATGCGTAGGTCTCCATAATGGCCTCCAACCCCGTCCTGTGCAATGAAAATAAAGCAAGGAGAGAAGAATGTCAGTCAGCTGGCAAGGGTGAGACACGACCTCACTTGACATGCTACCAGCGGCCACCAAAAGGTCACCTTGACATCTGTGAATTCCTCAAGCGAGCCTTCCTGCATAGGTGCTAGCCACTAGAGTAAAATGAAATTTCTCTAGCCCAAGATTTCAAAAGCTCCCAATGGTTTTCCAGCACCTTTTTCTTTTTTTAATAAGGATCTCAAACTTTCTGTCTGCTTTGCAGAGGATACATGACTGTCAGCTCCTCAAGGCATGCTTTATCATAGAGCAGTCTTCCACACTTTGTGGATGCAATCTGTGATGCATATGAGGGAGGTCTGGGATTCAGCCTTCAGAATCAGAGTGATTTTGTGAATTACCTTTCCCTGCCACCTCCTAGTTCTGGACACTGCTTTGAAGTGCTGTGGGAAGCCACCCAAAAGGGAATCTCCTTGGTTTTGGACTTCAACTAGAAATGCATAAAAGGTTTTTTATAAAATATCTGTGGCATCCTCTCTTTGGGTCCCTAACGCACCGCAGAGATAGTACCAAAGAGAAAAAGCCAAAAATCAAGTTAGAACTTTTCTTCTTGAAGGGCTGGGGTCTCAGATTTGTTCTTATTTTCACCACAGAACGCTAGCTGTGCTGAAAGTCTCTAGCTCCGCAGGCTCCGTGAGGACATAGGTGCATTATCAGGAAAAGACCTCCATGTTCTTTAAGAGACAACCCCCTAGGGTTTCTTCCCAGGTAAGGCTCTCCTTTGTGGAAGCTGCACATTGCTCTGTTCCCCGTTCCTCATCCTCCCTTGCCTCTTTTCCAGCAGTAGGTTATAACCCTCACACTGACCGAACACAACTAGAGATGCTTTGTCAAATGCGAGAACATATCCCCTTTCAATGCAAAAGGCTCTAACATCCCCAGAGCCTCTCATCAGATGTTGACTTGATACTAGAGCTGCCTTTTGCTTCTGAAAATGTCTTTCTGCACGTGCCTCCACTCACTCAGTTAACTTTCCAAAGTCTCCCCGGAAGCTTGGATGCTTTAAATACATTGGAGTTGGCAAACCAAACTCTGTATTTTAAGAGGAGGTTTAGAAGAGAGGTTGTTGCATGGTGTTTATTAGCTGCTAAGCTGTTAGAAGTAGAAACAGAAGACATCTCTGCATAGCAGTCTCACACTAGCACTGAGCACATTACAACAAAACTATTTGGTTAATACAGTGGCCTCTGCCAGCTCGTGGAGCTCCGAGACAACAAGGCAGTGCAGAATGTGAACCCATCTGCTAAGCTGGGCTCTGTGTGCAAAAGCCGCTCTTCAACTACCGGTACCACCCCCGGGATTTCCTCCACTCCCCGTGTGAGAAAGCCACACACGTTCAGACTCAATCTGCTTCTCGACACACAGAGTTGAGAAGAGAACGGTACCTTTTTGCACCCTCATGAAACAATTTCCAGCCCAAACATCAAGAAAGGACTTTCTCGTACTGTATGTCCAAGGGGCATAAAATGCCCTGAGCAGGTTGCAATGCAACAAGACCTGCTGTTGAAAGGACCTGCCCTGATGATTAAAACCAAGTAATACATCCAGAAATGCAGACTGAAAGTTCCAGCTGTGCTAATCCAGCTGCTCTGTGTCTGCCACAAGGATCGTGCAGAGAAGCAGGGAGGCCAGCTCACTAAAACCAGTCTTCACACAGTCTGGCTCAGTCATTAGACCCTCGTGCACAAAACCCCACTCTGCACCAGCCCCTGATTTCTAGCTCTGCTCTCATGACTCCCTTCCAGTAAAATCCAACCCCTAACAGGAGGTAGCTCAGGGAAACAGTAAAGACAGGTTAAAGCTATTACCCCTGCCTCTGCCTGGAGCCTGCATCGTTCTCAGCTCAGCTTCACTCGCAGTTCAAAGTTTCTGGCTCTCTGTCTACCACTTTCCCCTGTATCAATACAGTTCTCACAAGTACCATATAATTTGTGCTTCTAAAAGGAAAGGAAAGAGGAGGTAATAAAAAGAAGAAATAAAAGAGTAAATCAGGAATAATAAGCTGCTTTCAAGGGTTGGACTCCACTGTGCCTGCGAACCCAGAGAGGGTAAATGGCAGCACTGAGTGTACCAGAGCAGCTTGCAAAGCTGCTTTATTCTTGTTCTGTATGCCAGGGAAAGGAGGGATGCCACCATGGACCCACCTCCTCCTGCTCCAGGGGAGTAGGTCTAGAACAGCCCCTTGCTGTGGACACGGCTTCTGTCACCATCCTCTTTCCATATTGTAACTTGCTGGCAGCAACACTGTGGCTTCATCAGATTCACAGACTGCCGTGTAATGCTCTGGGCAGCTCTGCAGCCACAGGTACCTGAGGAATGGATGCCCAACTCCACAATTGGCTTAAAGCCATCTCTTTCACCTCTTTGGTCTTCCTGGCCCAAACAGGAGTCCTTTACTCCCCCTGAGGTGTGCACATGTGGAACACACATTATAATAGGAATGGAAGAGGCTGCCTAGGGAGGTGGTTGAGTCACCATCCCTGGAGGTGTTCAAAAAACATGTAGATGTGGCACTTCGGGATATGGTTTAGTAGGCATGGTGGTGTTGGGTTCATGGTTGGACTTGATGATCTTAGAGGTCTTTTCCAACCTATGACACCCTCCCTAAATACGTGGGTGACAGAGCTCAAAGTTACGTCCAGTGCCCCTGTACGAATTCTAGGTCCCTGTATAGATCATTCTATTTTTTCCTGTTTTGTTTTGATTTTATCTTTGTGCAGAACAAATTCTGCGGGTGTTTCTGAAATAGCATCTAAGCAGAACACATCCTTACTGAACTTTCAGATTCTTCCATGTGTCATACAAGATTCATGAGACAGCAGCCTCCTGTGCTAACCTGCTAGGCACCTACCACTCCATGTACGGAGAACTGCAGAAAAACAATGTGCAGCCATGCAAAACCATGTTGGGTCAGAATGCACACCACCTTTGTGTGACTGATTTTACAACTCTATCCTGAATCTTTCAATATACTTTTTTTCCTTTTACCTCTGATGTATTCTCATTTTTGTAAAAAAAAATGGTGGGGTGAGGGAGTGGGAATCAAGAAACTCCATCTTTGTCAACTCTAACAAGCCTTTCTCCCATAGCAGTTTACGACATTAGCATGGTACCAAGATGTCCAGAGCCACATCACAGACCTCCACCACAGGACAGAAAGGTAATGCTCTCCGAGTCAGCAGAAATACTGGTGTGCTACTCTGTGTGTGTTCCAGCCCCTAACAGGGAAAACAAACCCCATCTGGACAGTGAAGAGACATTGTGGGACAACAATAAATGCTGACAAAAAAAGGAATTGTTTTCAGCATTTCTGAAATCTCAGCAACTTCTTTTGGGCTTTGGTGAGGGCTGCTAGTACCAAGTGTGCTGAACATTATCCATGTGGCATCCACTTTCTCTTCCAAAGAACTGCACTGAGAAATTGACTTCATACTGTCTATCAGGCCATAAACCCTCCCCTCTCACACCATCTTTATGAAGGAAGTAAAAAAAGTATCAGAAGAGGACTCACTGCCAACTTTATTTTAATAAGGTCAGTCCTTTAAAAGGTATCCAAAATTCGCTCTCTCTTATTCATTCATTTTTTTGTTTTTAGTGCTATAAAGTTTTAATAATAGGCAATAAATGAAACAGTTCCATTGTCTGAAAAACGAAAAAAGGTGTACAAGCTATCTGTGCACCTCCATAATCCACCCCATATGGCCGACCTTGCCATTCCCGCTGCACGCGGGATTCAGGTCATCGCTTCATTGTTCCCTGGGGAAGCCAGACTATTGGCTCCAAGCGCCCTCCTGGCTCTCTTACCCTAGACAAAAGCTCAAAGAGCATTTCCAACACAAACAACGTATCTACTTTGGCTGCCCACATCTGAAAGGAAAGTGCTGTTGCTTGCCTTTAGCTTAGGTTTTTTTAATTCCTTCACCCTGCTGGGTTTCCTGACTGTTGTCCATTCTGGCTTCCTCCCGGATAAGGAGCTCCCCTGAGCATCCCACTGTCAAGTTAACTTTACTCAGCCTCCAAAAATAGGCTCTGTGGCTTTAAATCTACACCCTTGCTGCCCAAACATTTGGCTAGCTGAGTTCCATATGTCAAAAACTTTGGTTCTCCATCTCTTGAAGCTCAGGAAAGCAACCAAGTAATACCTGCCTTGTACCTACATTATGTAGGTATCCTTTCACCACCAGGTGAAAGAACTGGTTCTCTTGTTTCACTTTTACAGATGCTTCACCTGCTTTCACAGATAAAGCAGAGAGGGACAAAAAAATCACGTAAAGGGAATCTCTAACAAGAGGGAACTGAAACTGGGCCTTCTAACATAGGCTAACTCCCTAATTCATCAAGGCCAATGGCTAGATTTCTGAACAGCACAAGTTAACATGGTTTCAGTGCTCCAAGACTGCAAAACAACATCCAGGCGCTGGAGCTGTTTGCATCCTTCCTTCTGAAATACCTCACTGCTCCTTCTTCCAGTGCAAGGACTGAGGCAGTCAGCTGTGAAGGGAGACAACCATTCAAGCAACTGAAGGAGATCCAAGAGGGGATCCGTGGAAAGATCACTCCTCCAGATGGCTACAGGCACTTACATCGTGATGGGGTGTCCCCAGGGCAGCGGGATTTTAGCAGTCTCTTGGACTAATGCACACTTATAATGAAACATATGCAAAGGTTGTGAGCTGACGGAATTGAAAAAATTGAAAGGGAAACTAGTTTTAAAAATAACAGCCAAACCCGTAATTTCTGCAGCAGGCAACAACAGTGAAACAATAACAGAATAAGAAATAAGTGAAGGAAAAACATCCATCCTTCTTTCACAGAAAAGTCTCAACACAAAGCAGAAAGGAAACGTTCTAGGCAAGAAGTGGCCTAAGAGTTCCTCTTCTCCCACCATGCTCTGTTTTTTCCAGTGTTTGGGTTTTTTTCTGCATCGTTTGCTGGCAAACTCTAACCATGGCTCTGATTCAGTATCCCAATGTCTCCAGGATATGATGCCCTGGAGCAGCCTCAGACATTCTGTGGCCCCTACTGCTGCCACACTATGTTTTTTTTCTTTTAAGACTTTTTACAGAAAACATCTTGGACATATAGTATACTTCACAAATGGCCCCTTTTTAAAATTACCCTGTTTCTTTTTCAAAGGAGGCCTACATTTTCAGTGAGACATTTTCCAGCTACAGCCTGATGCACTGTAGCCAACCAAAGCTGTTGTGGGGATGTGGGAAGCTACAGAGCATCACAGTTGTCACTCCAGTTAACCAGTGATCCTGATGAGATTAAAAAGTCACAAGTGGAAGAGGAGCCAACCAGCACAGTGAAGTCCCATTTGGTTAGTCCTTTGCACACACAGCTTGGACATTAATGCTTTTCTCCCTCCTATGTACGTGTCCTCTTTAAAGGGAGCAGCTGAGCCTTAGAGTGTCCTCCACTAGTTGACAACAGCGGTGCAACCTTAGCCAGACCACTGCTTGTGAGGCAGGCGCCTGACTGCTATATATGCTTGCAAATACCTTTGCCTGTTTTTTCTTCCTAAAGCCTCAGGCTGCTCTCTTTGATGTGTAATACCTTAAAGATTTTAATTCCTCTTTACATCAGCAGCGAGTCTTACTGAGCCCTCCCCACAGCTGCAGCCGTGTAGCAATTTCCTGCCCTTTCTTAAATCAATGAGCTACAAAGATCAGTAATTCCCAGCCTTTTCAGGAAACTGTCCAAATTCACTGGGCTAGGACCTTATTAATGCCTTCCACATTAATCTAGCCCACCGTGTACCTGGAACTGCATCAATCCCTCTTCTAAGCCCAGCCTCCAGTGCAGCTGTGGCTCTGCACACAGTGAAGATCTTGTACCCGGTGCACATCTTACTTCCCCCACACAGGAGAGAAAAGCAGGGTAAAAGTCACATATACCTTCAGTATCAGAACTAATGCTCAGGGTGGGAATTATATAAGGGCGGTAATGTCTTTTTGCATTGCTACAGTAAGAGGAAGAACAAAGGAGCTGAGCTAGGAAGTCGCTAGGTCAGTAAGATGTCTTCCTTGTGATCATGGAGAACGTAGCATTTAAACGGGTGACGGGAAACATGGGGCAGTTACCCATTCACTGAAGGCTTCCCATACCAAACCGTCAATGAAGCAGCGGTCCTGGTGAACATGCGCAACAGGAGCGTGCAAGGTAAAACTGAATTACAGGGCCCGTGGGGACAGCAAATGAGGGCTATGCACATGACTTTCACTCTGGTCTGCACACTCAGAGCCTTGCTTTACAACCCTAGAGTTCTTGTAACGTGGTCATATATGTCTAATTCTATAACTAATTTAATGTTTAAAGCCTTTGTCATGCTGATTTAAAGGATAGTCACGTCATCTGGATCTGAAATATTTAGATCTGCTGCACACTGCTGCATTCATGAATGGCAGAAAAATTTGAAACTTTTTGTTTGGACTTTCTTATTCTATTTTGATACCTCTGTAATGTATTTTACTAACACAAAAGGGTTTTTTTATTAAAGTTCCTGTTTTACTACTGTGTTGTTAAAATAGAACATATCCTAAATAACATTCAAGGTGTTCTACTTAATCTTTTCCTAAAAATCCTGACACAGTTAAGTGACACAATTACAGTGAAACAATTTGACATCACTGGAGAAAACCTGAAATTGTTTGAAACTAGAACATTTTTATACTTTTTTCCTGAAATCCTATCAGAAACTCAACTTTTCTTCTAATGTAAAGCAAGCATTTTTGCTCCAAGTTTAGGAACTTTCTGTGAAAACTAAAACTAAAAAATGCCCTTCAGCCAGCTCTACATATGGTAAAGAACAAGCAAAAGTGTTTAGGTCCCCTCTACTACAACTTTCATTATTTTGTAGAGTGTTAGCCTACGACCTATTTGTCGGATTTACAATCTGCAATCCTCTGTTTTTCTACCTCTGTTTTTCATTTTAGTAACAAAAAAAAAATTTTTAAGAAACTCTACAGTATCTTTACAAGTTCATTTATTTTACCTAACTCTCTGGACATCATGGCTCCATATCAGTGATACATGAACAGTTTACTAACAGCTTACCAGAGATGCTGAAGAATATTTTAATTGTGTTTCTCAACAACAAATGGAAAAGCTCAAATGAACATAAAAATAATAGCAAGAAGCATAAATCAATTAATTATCCAGCAGGAAAAATAAACAACAGCATAACACTTATACAGAAGAAAACAGCCTTGAAAGTAGTGGTAACAGGTAGTGAACAGGAAATTAAACATAGGACAGCAAAAAAATAGAGTGACGGAAAAAATGTTATCAAGCAGGAAAGTAATAAGCTATCTTTACAGATATGTTGTCTAAGAATATCTAAAACTGTCTGTCAGGGTTTGGGACTGCAGGATCCAGGCAGGCGTATGAGCAGTACTGGAGGAGACTTCTGAAAAGAAACGGCGTCAGTCTAGCTGGCTAACCTGGAAAGTATTTTCTAAGGAAGCCATCATTATACATTGGATCTGTCTAGACAAAGTAGAATGGCTCTTCTAGTTCCTCTAAGAACTAGTCTATAGAAAACCTTTCCTGCAAAAATTAATTAGAATCACAAAATGCCTTCCTTGGCCTTAGACACATGCCCTGTGCACTCATCAGGGAAAGGAGAGAAGAGATCAGCGAGGAAACACAAACAAGCTTCTGTTACCTGTTTCTCCCAGAATCTCTGAAACCTTTAGCGAAGGGATTTCTGTCAATTTTTAATCTGGTGATCTACAAAGAAATAAAAAGAGAATTAGTTGATTTCTCCAAATTTTTTTTTTCAATAAAGGAAAATTACTGATGATTACCACCCTTGCCCAAACCACGTGTACTATGATCTTTCATACTTGCTTCCCCAGACTTACATTAAAGTTGCCCTTCCATTCTCCATGAACTGATTATCTGCTTAGCAAATGAATGGTGCCAGAGGCAGAAACTTGGCAGCACTGGGAAACCTGGTGTAGCGCTGGGGCTGAGAAGCTGTTCGCACACCTTGGACCCAGGTGCAAAACCCCAGGAGCCAGAACTCATTGACAGCCGTGTGGTTTGGGAAGCAGGTGTAATGCTCAGGTTTGGCTGGTATCTGGGTTATCCCAGCCTCAACTCTCCAGATAGCCAGCAGCTGGATGCACTCCTGGACCTTCAAACAATGCTAAGCAGAAAAGGCCAAGCAAAGCACAGGCTACAGCCTCCAAAGACAGCAGCTGGCCACCCAGTCACGTGCACAGGATCCTGCTCTTGTGGTCAGCATCTGGGTGGCCCTTTAAGGGTTTTCTGGTCTGGAAACCAATTTTTTTCTTTTTTCCCCTCCTTTAAACAAGGAAGACAACAGCCAGACTGAGTTCTTCGGGAAATGTTCCTTCCTGCTTTCTTTTTAGGCAAGAATTCTGTGTTGGTAAATATGGAAAATAAAATTGAGATTTTGACCTTGCATCCCACGGTATAATACTTCCTGTCAGCTATTCCCCAATCTGGTGCACCACGAGAATGTCCCTCTGTCAGCCTCACCTTGTCCTGGAGACCCTGTCTCTGCAGTGAAAACAGAGCGGTATCTCAAGACCCTACCAAATTTGAGGTGTTTTTGCTGAAACTGCTCAGAAGGGACCAGCTTAATACAGACTGATCTGAAGTGGATTTGCAGGTGTTTTGCTTCTGTCAGAACCAAGCCCTTACTCTGGATATTAACCTCAGATCTGGAATGCAGCTCCTATTTTTGCAGAAGCTTAATTTGTGAACTTAATTTCCGCTAGCCTGACTTTGCAGCTGTCCTGGGACTTGTGTGTACAGAGACACATATGTTCCATGGAGGATGGAATTACAGCAGAGGGAATCCCTGTGGTGGATTTGCTAACTTTCTACAGTTGTTTCCAGAGACGCTTCTCCCAGTAAGACAAAGTTTTACATGCAGACAGATTCAGGTATTTAAATTTCTTTTTAATGAAAAGGTTTCTCCAACCCATCAGAATCTCCTTTACCAGTATTACAAAAATGCCCCCATGCCCCCATTTTTTTGAAGAAAACCACCAAATGTTGGGAATTCAGAGAAACAGGAAGAAATTTCAGTGATTTTTACAGTGAGGTGGCTTACAGTGCCAGTGTCTGGCACAGATCCCTCCCTTAGCACCTCCCTTACCTCTGTAATTACGTTACAGATCTGGTCATTTGGGAAGAATGGCAGGCTTATTTCCTGCCATCTCTTTGCCTTTCTCTGTCCTCTTTCCACGTCTAGTCTACTGTTAAAAGTTTGTAGAGTACATTCATTTGGGTCAGGGGGGAAGGAAATTTCCAGTGCTTCAATGACAGTAAACCCACCATTGTGTTGCGATTTTTTTTTCTACTGGAATAATTGATCGATTTTGGATCCTGATTTAAGCCAATTCAAGTGGACCAGACCGAGAAAAAGTTAGCAGTGGGTCTGCAGAAGCAGTCATGAGAGCACTGTCAGCAAACGTGCTCTCTCTTATATGTTGCATAATAAAATCTAACAATTCACTGAATTATTACAATTCACAATTGTTACAAATTGGCTAAATATTACAATCTTTCCTAAACTGATTTGACATGAGTCTGCCCCTCAGTTCAGGAATATTAATGATGTCCACCGAGTTCATGAAGCCATTCTCCAGAAGCACAGATGTTGTCATGGAGAAATATTTACCTCACCATTTCCGATTCAAGACTCCTCTGCAATTTATGGCAGAAAATTGTATAACCTATTTTCCCAACAGGCTTAATAACAGATTATTTTTCTTCCAAGCTGCTTTGTACCCTCACTCTAGCTTATAACAGTACCTCTCTAAGCAGACACACAACTGACACAACGAAAACTTTACCAACTGTGATTCTGTTTCAGATGGCTGAGGAAAAATCACGTTACACGGCCCTTTTAATGCCATCACAGCCCCCAGCCCAGTACGGAGGAGGAAAGGGAAATGGGATGTGCACAGCCTGAGAATAAAACAGGGACTAAGTGTACACGAACAAGAGAAGAGGAGCATGCTGAGTCCAAAGCACAACAGAGGTGGTATGAAGGCTAAGGGGAATCCCTGAATATTCTGGCAGATGAGTGATATGTAAGCAGACTACAAAGGGAAAGGGTGAACATAAGGAGCTCTCAGTGTGTGCAATGAATATGCCTGCAGAAGCGATGAAGCAGGCCACCTCCTACTCAAAGACTAGGACACCAGCTTTCACTGGCCACTGAAAGAGAAGGAGGAGCAAATGTGTGTAGTTTACAGTGAATCTTTTCCAAAACTCCTTTCTTTGCTGATGTCTCAGATGCTTACATTCTCAAATGCTCACATTTTCTTAGCAATTAATTTCCTCTACCAGATATCATATCTTGGGGGAAAACAGGAATAGATAGGGAATTCCATAATCAAACACTAGTATGCACTGAGATTACGTTTCTTAGTGCCATGAAGTAGAGTTTAAGAAAAAGAGCAGATCAGTAACAAAGCTCAGTAGTCAAGGCCTCTACAGATACGATCCCACTGTGGCAGCTTCTTTTCCTTATGACAACCGGAGTCAATTGTCACGCTCTCCGCTGGAAACTGAGCAAGATCCGAATCAAACTTGAGCTATGCATGAGAATTTTAGGTCATATGCAATACATGGACTGCTGCTGCTTATGTTCAAAGGCTTCTTTTGTCAGCAAACTGATGAGATTCCTGTTCTCCAAACCTTTTTCCTTCAATTCAGCAGTGAAAAAAACCCTATGTGTCTTCTCTGCAAGGTAACAGATCTGGACTAGTTGTACTGCCTTAAAATCACAGCGGAAACAGGACACTGTAGTTTGTACCACGAGGCAGCAAGGAAAAGTGAACACAGTACATCTCTTTGTGGTTGATCTCACCTACCAGCTTTACAGTAAAAACTGCAGGCACCTTACCTGCAAGATGGCTTTCTGGCTAGACACCTCATGTCTACGCACTGTTCCATAGCAAGCATTTTCTTTTTGTGCAGAAAAACCATTGAGCCTGTAAACTGTACACTATTCTTGAGCGATGTTTCTTGAAGAAGTTAATGTCTCAAACACAAAGAGCACGCTGATATTTTTAAGAACACCCAACATAAAAGGAACCTGAAGGCACACAGCTTTACCTGTTGATTTTGGTAGGCTGTCACTGTGGTGAAGACAGTCTCAGGGAAGTTGAAGGTTTTCACCCCATCTCCTGAAGGGACTGGCTTTGTAGGGGAAAGATCACTGCTGAAATCCTTGCGGATGACATGAACACGGGGCTGGTACTTATGCATTGAATGCAAGATTATCTGAAGAGAAAACAAAAGAAGGCAAAGAATTTTTTTTTTCCAAATACTCTACACTACTTCCAGATGTACAAGGAAGCAGGGATGGAGTAAGGGCTAACATGAAGAAAACTACCCTTTTCTTATGAGCATGTATGAGATGAAGTTTGCGCTACATACAGGGAGAAAGAGTTTATTGCTTTATAGGGTCAGGCAACATTTTGAAGAAATGTACTGAACTAGGGAGAAAAGCTCCATAACTCTGGAGAGTGGCTACAGGTACTCGTGCCCAGCAGGACACAGGAGCATTGGAGCAGCAGCATCACCCTTTTGAGTCTGAGAGGAGTGAGGCTAGGGCAGCCAGCACCAGGATTAGCTTCTAACTTACATGGCCTTGATCATCAAGCTCGTTGTTGGTCAGCTTGAGCTTGTCAAAACTGACAACCTGCCTCATCCAGGTGTCTCCAGAAGCCAGCGAGTCGGGGTGGATGTAAACCCTTGGGGGCACTGGGGAGTCAGCATTGCCAGCCACCATCCACTTGGAGCTGTGATACACATACCTGAAAGAGGAAGGGGAAATGGCTAAGGGAGGCTGTCACTCACTGGAGGAACATTTCCAGGGCTCCCCCTCCCCTGCCACCCCACCACACGCCCCCCAAGCTCTCATTTGCAGTCAGGGGAGAATGTGCTTTATTGCAACCTCCTACCTTCTTAAATGAAAGCCAGATTACCCCTGAGCCACTTGTTCAGGCTTGATTCCTTATTAAAACCACCTTTGCAGTTATTCTTCCTGTAAAACTCTGCCACATGTGCCTTCTCAACTCCTTAACCCTCTCTGAGCCAGAGTAATAGGCTAGAAAATATGGGTTAACAAAGCCCTCTCTGAAATTATTAATAAATGCCCTGTAATTTCTGGAAATTTGCACTGGCTGTTGTGCCATACTGTGCAAAACACATGCATCTTCATCCAACATGAGCAAAATCCAATGGATACCACTAGAACAACTGATAAAACAGAGTTCTGGTTTGAAATGTTGTGAAACAGGAAATTCCATATAGTATTACAAATGTTGGGATCAGAGGGAAAAATAATTTTTGTGTTCTTGGTCTTCTGTGATCTTTTGTGTTCCTGATGTAGCCATACTACATATGCCATAAATTTCTCTACCACAGCTTTGCCTGGACGCTTTTTTGCTTTCTGTCCTGTGGCTCCTTCAGCCTAAAGCACTTCACAAACAATCCTGCTAACACCTCTGAGTTCTGCTCTGTGCTGCCTGCCCTTCATTGGGTCTCTTCTCAGCTCTGCTAAGTCTTTACCTAGAAACAGTGACTCATTTCATATGTTTTCAAAAGAAATGAAAAAAAAGAAAAATCCATGCCTTCACTGCTAGTTTGTTCTATGTTGCTAGCAAGCTAATAAGGACAGAAACAAAGTAGAAGACAATATATTTCTTTTTTACATTAATGCTGTCAGAACCACACTCAAAGAAAGGGGCAAAACATCTAGCTGAGTATCAGGAACTATCTTGATGCTTCCGAGGAACAGCAATTTCCCGAGAAACGCTCTGCACAATCAAAGAGCAAAAACGTAATATTCAGCATTTGAAGCAGAGGATCAATTCTTGAATCCTTGAAACGTGGTGCAATCAAGATTATTTGGGGAAAAGACTTGCTCTCAGAGGTCTTTTAATGAGCACAGACAAATCATCTCTGTCTGGATAGTTTTCTGGGATGCAGAGGAGCATGAGTTTTCCAGAGTATTTGTCAGGATTGGGAGCCCATCCTGTCTTTCAGCTCAGTGGTGGAGATTCACCTGAGGGTTTCTCAATGTCTCCATACTGCAGGTCAGGGCCCATACGTCCTGTGGCTGCTGTGCTGGAAAGCGAATGCTTTTAAAACAAAGCCCACCCAATTCAGTTCAGGCCAGACCTGAACTGCCACTTACCCATTCCTTTCTTGCTGAAATAGTTTCACAGGCTCCGGACTCCCTGTTAATAACTCCATTTATCAGTTCACTCAGACTGTCATTACTAATTATGTCAGCTGTGAAATACATACTAGGGATCTCCCTGATTAAAAACTGCTATTTGAAAAGAGCAAGATTTCAATCCAAAAGTGCAAGAGGATATATTAAACCTTTGGTTTTTTGTCTTACGATTCTGGTCAAATCAGTTATGTTGATGTAAATTAACATGGTCTCCTCCAACACACCTTTGAAATGGTGTATAATGGCTTGTGTCTTTCCTAGGCTTTCATTGACATGAAGTTATCACAATGTTCCTACCTTTGCACCTAAAAAGCTTACCTGTATCTCTTGTTATCCACAGGCACAATGTCCATGGCAATATAATATTGCTGGTGGGGATCCAAGCCTGTAATTTTCACTCTCATGGCTGGAAACATTCTCCTAGGAAGAGTAGAAATAAGGAAGAAAATGGTGAATAAGGTGCCTGAAGGGGCTCTTTAGACTCTTCTCTGACACCAGAAGTACACTACTTTACACAGCCTGGTTCCTGGTATGACTCCTCTGAGCTCGGTGTGGGAAGCAAAGACTGGTTTGAATCTTGAAATTTTCAACTTAAGAAAAGGGGTAGCAGGATAACTTGCTACTTGTGGATAATAATAAAACACTCCTAGTCAAGCACTCTGTCTGTTCCCAGTTCCCAGCAGACAGTTCTTTTATGCTCCACAGAAATTGTCCTTTCTAGGCATTTCAGGACAAAGATGGGCAATCTACCTTCTTCCTGCTGTTCTTCCCATTGGCCATCCATCTAGAATTATTCTCTCATATCACTTTGCCCTGGTTTCAGCTGGGATAGCATTAATTTTCCTCTCAGGATCTGCTGTGTTTTGGATTTAGTATGAGAAGAATGTTGATAATGTTGATGTTTTCAGTTGTTGCTATAAATCAAGGACTTTTTCCAGTTTCTCATATTCAGCTAATGAGCAGCTATGCAGGAGCTCGGAGAGACCATAGCCAGACAGATAGCCAAGCTGGCCAATGGCAATATTCCATACCCTAAACGACATGCTCAGTTTATGAATGGGCTTGGCTAGGGGGAGGAATCTATTGGCTTTTCGGTTTACCGGGAGTTGTTTGAATCCTTTCTTGGCTGGGAGTCCATACTCCTTTTTGGGTTGTGAAACGGTTGTCAGGCGGTGAGAAAAATTATATTGCGTATAGTTTGTTTTGCATATTCATTATTACCATTGTTATTATTATGACTATTAGTAGTAGTAGTAGTAGCAGCATTTCCTTGGTTGCCTTATTAAACTGTCTTTATCTCAATCCGTGAGTCTCCCCTTTTGTCCATTTCTCCTCCCCATCCTGCTGGGGGGGAGACGAAAGGTGAGCAAGTGGTTGTCTAGCACTTGGCTGCCGGTTGCCAGGTTAAACTACTACACACATTAAATGCAGGATCACTTTAGTTCTCTTTTTTGACAAAATCATATTTCGGTATGGAGCTTGATAATACTGGAGTAATATTTAAAGCAAATCCATTATCCTGAAAGATTCTCTTGCTCGTACGTTTATAGTTATTTATGAAAGAATGTCCCTCAAATTAATCTGCTTATTAAGCATATACTCCACATTTACCTGAAACACTGGCATTATCATCATGGTTTCCTTGAAGTCTAGGTAATAATTTGAGCAATCTTTTTAATAAGTGTTGTCTTTTTCTATGATACATGATCCAAACCTGTCTTAAGAATTTTCTCCTGATAAGCAAGTTATGAAACTCTACATCAGCAAGAATCAATTCCCACCCTTTCTTTTCTTGTCTGAGCACAAGCTTAGCTCTGCTGTGCACTAGTCACTGTTCTGAAGGTGTCTGTAGGTAGGCAACTATTTCAGAAGAGAAGAGCTCAGAACAATTTTAACCTCAAAACATGTCAGCGTTAGTGTGGCTATGACATAATTTCTCCTTAAAAAAATTCTGGCTGCCAGTAGTCCGATTGCCATTTTACCCTTCCCTCAAACAGTATGCTAAGCGAATTGTTTATGCCGTATTTTATTTGCAACAAATATGGTATTTTAAAATCTTCATAAAATCTGAGGAGCAGAACTGGGTGAAGCGCAGAATTAAAAAGTGCAGCAGAGTAGAGCACTGAAAGAAATCCTGCATTGTTTCAATGACTGTTAACTCAATCCTGAGTTCTACTTGAGCAGCTTCTCAGCCCTTATCTGAGAAAATCTCGAGCTCAGGTCCTACAGGATGGTGTTACTCAGTTGCATGACTTCCACCCAGAAGATACAGAGCTTTGTTAGGAGAAACTCTGAAAGTACTGGATGCTCATACAAAACCACGTTCTGCTCCTCTGATAAGTAGATACATCCTTATGGAATGAGGGTAGTTTGGATGGAAGGAGGATATTAAAATGGAATTTAAAATCCCAATGCCAAAACTGTGCAAAAGTGTCCAAGGAATGTTTGTCCATTCTTTCCAGGGGCCATCCCTAGAAACCATTGTGACACTTTCCCTTCTATCTAGTAAGGATTAGTGAAATGTCAGAGAAGACTGAAACTTCCTCCCAACATTTCTGTTTCTCAAAGTATTGCCAGTGGACACAACCCGGAGGAGAAAGAAAACAGGAAAGTTTATGTCAACATCTCCAAACATGTCTCTAATCATTTGAACCGAAGGGATGAAACCATGAGAAACTATTTTACTCTTT